CGGGCTCTGACTGCTGGGGGCCTGGAGCAGGGACCCCCGTGGCGATCAGCACACGCAGTGCTCAGATACTGGTCTCTAAATACCACCTTCCACCGCAAGGAAGCAGGCTCCTGGGCGCCACTGCGGGTGAGGGCAGGGGAGGCACGAGAGGCACCTGGGCACCTCTCACGCTTACAGGACGAGGGCAACGTTTCAAAAGGATATAGGAAACCGCTTGAAGACGCTTCCACTGACCAAATCTAGAAATAACGAGAGCACTGATTACAACCCTCTGAAAACAGCAGGACTCCATGCGTCCATACGGTGATGAACGAATGCATGAATGAATGAGGACGGACGGAGGGAGGGAGGGAGGCTTTTCTTCACAGCAGAAGGCAACCAGTAAACGTGGAGGGCGTGATGGAAACAGAGCATCATGACCTGGCCCCCAGCCTGGCGGTCCTGACACAAGGGCAGTCATGCAAGGGTGCTAAGGCCGGTTGAGGTGTGACGGGAACAGAGTACCTGCGTGACCCCGGAGTGCCTCCTTACACAACACTGATAAGCGCTAAGGGACTAACTGACTACACAGTGGAGAAAGCTGCTTTCTCAGCCAGGCAACTTAACCAGGTGATCAAGGCTAAGATCACCTAGTGATGCCAAGGGTCATCCTACGGAACAAGAGACCTGCCCTCTTCAGCACCGTCAGGAACGGGGAGACTGGGAAGAGGTTCACACCACAAGCCAGCCGGACGCCGCACACGCCTGGATCAAAGAGAAACCAGGACAGGCGGTGAAGTGGGAGCAGGTCTGGGGACCCTGGGGCATCAGGGCTGATTTCCCGATGTGGGGGGGCGGGTGCAGTAGTAACACAAGAGAACGTCCAGCGTTGTTGGCATTTAGGGGTGATGGAACATCCGACACGCGTACTTGTGTGTGTAAAGAGGGGGTGATGAGGGCTTCCCTGGTGGCGCAGTGGTTGAGAGTCCGCCTGCCAATGCAGGGGACACGGGTTCGTGCCCCGGTCCGGGAAGATCCCACGTGCCGCGGAGCGGCTGGGCCCGTGAGCCATGGCCGCTGAGCCTGCGCGTCCGGAGCCTGTGCTCCGCAACGGGAGAGGCCCGCGAACAGCAAAAGAAAAAAAGAAAGGGGGGGTGACGAAATAAAGGTGGTAAAATGTTCAGAATTGAAAATCTGAATGGAATTTTTTATACCGTTCTTACAACTTTTCTATAGGTTTGAAACTACTTTAAATCAAAAGAAAAACATTCTGAAAAACCTTAATCAGTATATTCTGGGAAGAAGATGCCAGAGGCGTCAAGGTTCTTTTTAATCTTTTCCCAAAGGCCATATAAAACACAGAGCAGCTAGAAAGCAAAACCAAACGCCAGCAGACAATATTTACAACCAAACCAGTGAAGATGAACCGCGAGCAGCCACAAGCCTATCTGAAAACCGTGCAGGAGAAGCAGTGGGGCAGCTGCAAGGCCCAAAGGCCCCCAGGGGCCAGCGGGTGTTCACTGGGAAGAGTGGCAGGTTCACTGGAGAGCAGCAGCTACAGCCAGGAGTTCTCTCCTCTCAGCAGCAGCCTCGCCACTAGGAACTCTGCCTCCGACCTGCCAGGGCCCCGCAGCACAGGGCCTCACGCAGAAGAGAACCTGCAAGGAGCGAAATTAAAGCTGAGCAGGACAGGGACCACGGAGGCAAGAATGTCCAGGTGAGAGTCAGGGAGCAGCAGAGCCTGACGTCTCAGACACCAAGTTCGTCACCACGTGGAAACAACGGAAGAGGAGCTCAGTGAAGCTGGGAAACCTGCAAACCGCCTCCTCCTAAAGGCTCAATACAGCAAAATTCACATAAAAGTGAACCACAGAGAGGTCAAGTCCCAGAGAAGCTGCCCTAGGAAAGAAAGAGAATAAGGAGCAGAATAACATCCCTACAGATGATCAAAAACAGCAAAAAGACGTAATCAAAACGAGATCAAAACTGTTATGTTCTATTTCCAAACAAGCTAAAAGACACTGAGAAAATGATAAGAAGCATGAAAGAATAACATAAATCAGAATCAGCGAAACTCAGAAGTGAGGTGACAGAGGCAAGGGAAAACCGGAAACAAAAGAAAATTTCACCTGTGAAACGAAGACTCTCCACGAGAAAGAGCACAAGAGCAAACAGACACAGCAAATGATACCTTAAGAAGCAATGAGGAGAGCAGGAAGGATAAGCAGGATAAAACTTTTTAAAAGAGAGACTGAAAGGATTAAAGAGAAAAGGACAAATACTGATGGCAGATACAAAAGATGCAACGTCTGGGTAACAGGAATCTCCGAAGGGGAAAACAAAAACAAAGAAAGCATTAAAGAAAATGTTCCTGAATACAAAAAGGTCTAACTGCATGTTGAAAGAACACAACCTCTCCCTGAGAACGCCAACCCAAGACAGCCAATTCCAAGTAAAATGCTGGGCTTTAAGGCAAAAGAATTCTGTGGGCATCTTTGGGCAGAAAAAACACATGAGAAACACAAGAGAAATAAAATTAGACTATCATCAGACTGACAGCAACCTTCCATACCAGGAAAAAAATTATCTAGTGGAACTATTTACTCAAGATAGATTCTCAAGGAAAGAAAACGTGAGCCACGGCTTTTCTAGCCGTCAAAACCATCATCAACATGCACAAATACGGGGAACGCAGCCCCCACAAAACATTCCAGAAGAATCTAACAGACAACGAGATTCAGAAAACCAAATGACTAAACAGACATCCACAGACTTGTAATTAGCATTAAACACAAAGTTACTTATGGAACTAAGATGAAGGGTCCAGGGAGAGAGGACAGCATAAAACAGCCGCGTGATGTAAGCAAAACACATGCATGAGTGACACTCCTCGCTGGAGTGTGGCCCACCCAACGCTCTCCCTCCCAGCATCCGGCCAAGTCGCCAAAGGCCCTTTCCTGGGCGTAAGGATCATACCCTACATAAGACCCACCCCAACCAAGCCTAAAACCTGCACAGGGAAGGCAAGTCTGCAGGGTGAGCCCCACTGGGTGAGGGAGCTCAGAAACATCATGGGATTTCCACAGACCCTACTGAACACCAAAGTGAGACACAAGACACACAAGTTCAAGATGAGCAGCCAGGAGCTGAACTAAAACAAGAGTCAATACTCTTCAGAGGATGATGACGTGTCATCCACAAAATCCAGCATCCAAGCGACAATGACTAGACGTGCAGAGAGACAGGAAACCATGACCCACGGTCAAAGGAAAAAGCAGCCGACAGAGACTGAATCGAGACGCCCCCGATGTCGGACTTGACAAAACCATTACAGCAGCTTTTACAAATAGGTTCAAAGAATGTTGGGAAAATGTGGCCTCAGTAAGTGAGCAGACAGGGAAATCTCAGCAAAGAATCAGCAGCCATAAAAAAGACTAAAGTGGAAATCCCAGAACTGCAGATACATCAACAAATGAAAACTTCACTGGACAGACTGCAGAGCTGACTCGAGAAGACAGGGAATCTGAAGACAGATCAGTAGAAATGATCCAGTCCGAACAGAGAAAGAAGTGATTAAAGAAGGACAAATACAGACTCAGAGACCCACAGGGCAAAATATCAAAAAGATCTAACAGAGGTATAACTGGGAATCCCAATAGAAAAAGACTGAAACAGAGAAAGTTTTGAGGAAATAAAGGCCAAAGTGTTGCAAATTTGAGGAAAACTACTGGCCTACAGATCCAAGAAGCTCAGAGAAGCCCAAGCAGAGTGACTAGCAAGAGAACCAAGCCTAAACACCACACGGACGAACTTCTAAGAAGTAAGACGATCACCTCAAAACAGCTGGAGAAGTGACACACGTGACAGACAGGAAACAAGGACTGAAATCACAGTGGGGCCCTGAACGCGATGGAACAACGTCTTTAAGGACAACGACGGTCACACGTTTACAGCTGTTTTCAGACCTAAGAATAAGAGCTCTGCAATTTTGCAAAACACACTGGGAAATCTCCCATCTTTTTTGTGATCCGGAACAAGATAACATGTCTAAATGAGAATAGGAGTTTCCCTGGAAAAGAGAAAGAGACCAGCAGTTAAGACAGGATTCAAGGGGTAGAGGAGAAACGTGCTGGATGGCTAAAATTCTTACAATCACTCATCCCTATTAGTCGGTCATTCTATAAAATTAAGTGGTGTATATCTGGATTTGCTCGGCTTATTCAAGAATGTGAGAGAAAATTACACCTTAAGTTAAAAAAACAGAGCTGAAAGGAAAAAAAAAAAAACTGTCACATTCAGGGAAAACTTCATTCAAACTTTTGAGGGTGAAATACAACCATTTTCAGGTAAACAAAAGCTGAAAGAATCCATCACCAGCAGATTGCACTACAAGAAACGCTAAATGCTGTCCTTCAAGCCAAAGGGAAATACCGCAGATGGAAGCCTGGAACTTGGGGAAGGAACGAAAAACACCAGAAATGGTAAATACGCAGGTAAATATAAAAGACGATGTTTTCTTTCTTCCTGTGATTTACTTATAAAACAACTGGCAGTTTAAAGAAAAAATAACAATACTTTAAAGTTGGGTTTGTAATTACATATAAAGACACGACAGCAAACAAAACAAGAAACTAACAAAATCTGGACAAACAGAAACAGGCAACAACAACCTTCCTTCATGCTAACCCCAGTACTCAGGGAGGACAGTCAGCCCCTCAAAGGTCAGTCTTCTGACGGAATCTCCCCATATTCTCTTTCAAGTCAGTCTAAATCTCATCATGTTAAGCTACAGTGATCAAACTTCCTCATGCAAAGAACTTCCTGCTCACATGATATCCACAAATAGGTTGATTTGAATATAAAGTACCGAGTGTACCGAGAAAACAAGTATTCCAAGGGCGGTGAGACAACACGTGCGCAAACGACAGCCCGTTCTCGGCGTGCCTGACTCCCTGAAGAGGCGAGCGGGACGCAGATGCCCCGAGGCCCTTCCAGCCCCCGTCCCTGCATCCGTGAGGTACCTCTACTCCCGATCCCGGTGCCGGAGAGTCCACTTTCCTCTTTTTCCTGGGCCCGATGGCAGCTAGTGCTGTGAGGTTGGCATCTCGCTGCCTCATCTGTGCCAGTTCTTGTTGCTGCATCTTTGTTTTGAAAAGGAAACAGGGACTGTCATTTCACTCACTTTTTTTATTACTACAAAAGTAATACGTAGACACCAAAGGGTTTTCTAAACTTTCCTAAATGAAAATTTCATTTGACTGTTTTTTTTAAACAGTAAGTATATTTTTCAATCAGAAAAACAGTAAAGCAATAGACGCTCATCTTAAAAAGCTCAGAAAATATGAGCAAATTGTGAGAGTACAGAGACTGGATTGCACCCAATGAGGAAAACACTTTTGCAAACATCATAAATCGCTACAGGAAGGCCTACTGCGCAGAGATACCATCACTTTCTCAGCCTCCCTCTGTCTCTCGTTAGGTGCTGAGGTTGAATACAAACATATTTTCAAGCGTGCAGTGTAGGTTACTGGACAGAGAAAGCTTTACCTCCTTTGCCTTCTGCTTCAACCTTAACTGTTCTGGATCTTCTTGTCTGGACCGAGACTATTTTCAAACAGGTAAAAAAGAAAGGTAAGTTGTGACCTAAACGTTCATCACCCAACAAACACGTTATCTTATGCGTGACATGATGACATCTAAGTCACGTGACAGAACGCATTCAATTTTTAAACGTTTACAGCCAACAGACGAAAATTTATCATCATGAAAATCAATACCATTTGGATGTAAGAACCACGCCATGGTCCGATGTGACGTGAGGACGGTGGGCCAGGGCAGCCCGCAGGGCTCCGGGCTCAGTTAAGGGACCCGCCCCACGCGCTGGGCGACCTGCTGAGGTCCGGAGGCTTCCCGCCCCGGCTGCGCTCCTAACCCCGCGCACGTGTCATCGAGCCAGCCCCAAACCCTGCTCCGGCTCCTCGAAACCCCAAGGGTGTCCGCGAGTGCCCAGGGTGGACAGGGGGAAACTGCGTGCAGCACGAGCACTTGCCTTTGCTGCCCGCATCAAGATCTCTCTCTCCTGTTCGTCCTTTCTCTGTTTCTCAATTTGATCAAGCTGTTCAAAAAATTTGAGCTGAGCCCGGACATCACTTGCCTGCTCGTATCTGTCATCATCCTAGAAAAAAGTGAAACGACTGTTTGTCACGAACTTGGGAACCCAGTCGGACAGTCCGCGCACAGCTTCCCGCCCGCCTCGGCCCGCTCCCCAGCCGGGCGCGCAGACCCAAGCCCCTCTCGTCTCCAAGAGACTCTGCTTCTGAAGTGCTCTGGACGCGCACACGCTGCCCCAGGTAAGTCATCCGGGGGCTCACAGGCAACCTTCCATTTTATACACTTTGTTATCATTTGACTCTTTTAAGTTACATTTAAATTTTTTTTCTAACAGCGTAAAAAGTATTTTTAAAGCAAAGTGGCTATAAGCTTGTACTTCGAACGCTACTGAGGCAGCGCCTGGCCGCTCCACGGTGCCCCTGAAGGAGGGTTTGCATGACTGAAGAGGAAGGTGGACTCTGCCTTGAACCTGCTGTGAGAGGCCGGGCTCCGGGGAGCTGGCCCTCCACGACGCACGACAGGGCACCACCCGGAGTCACGGGAGCGCGGGTGAGCCAGAGCCCCTCGGGCCTGCAGGGACAGCTCGGGCCACAGCTGCTGGGAGCCCCCCCACATGGAAACGGGAGAGGGGCTCCACCATCTCCAGAGCTGAAGATGCCGCCAGCCCGGACCTAGAAGGCTGGCTCCCTAACCTGGAGGTCAGATCCCCCGCATCCTCCTTCCACAGCCCAGTGGATAGCGCCCAGAGCACCACGGGACTGAAAGAAGTGGCATCTTCCCAAAATCTCGTTCTGGGAGAAACTCAAAACGAGCTCAATGCTCTGCCGCTTCCCCTATGCCCTCCAGGCAGCACCAGACCCGGGAGGGCCGACAGGGCATCCCCTCCAGGAAACGGCAGGTTACCTTATAAGAGAAGTTCTTTTGCTGAGCCGTTTCTGATATCTTTTCTACAAGGTTCTGCAGCCTCTGTTGCGTGGCGTGTGACACGTAACTCACCACGTCTGGGTGTAACTCTGTTATGCCGTGCTTCTTACCTGGGGAACAGGCGGTATTTCACAATCACTGAAGTTCTTTTCTTTCCTTCACTGTTTTTCCCTTATCTCCCAGTTACCGCTTTGTGCAACCTGAGGGTCGGGGGTGGTCTACACCTGCTCCAACAACCTGAGAACGTCACCACCAACCCCACGGAAAGCACAACCCTGGCAAAACAGGTGACAAGGGACAAGGGGTGTCCCCCCAAGCCCGGGACAGCTCCGCGCTGAGCACCACAGTCGTGGTCCACACCAAGCCCACTGGTGGAGGCCGGACGTCCCAGGGCCGGTAGGAGACAGGGCCATACCTATTTCTAATATTCTTCTTTGCAGAGGCGCCGGGAGGAGGAAGGTCTCATCTTTGCAGGACCGCGTCAGGGTGCCCACTAACTCAGAGTTCGTAGCCAATATTCTCGCACTTTCTTCCGACAGGTTCACGCCGGCCATCGACGCTACGTCATTGATGTCATCGTCGTCCCTTCAGGAAGGACGAGGAGGTGGGTCTAACCGAACGAGGGCCGCCAAGGAGGCACACGCGGGTGGCCCCAACTCGGCGGGCAGAGGGGCGGCTCCCCCGCGCTGCTGTCACCTGAGCACAAAGGCGGTCGCCTGCGAGCCAATCTGTTATTTTAAAGGAAGACCCACCCCAAGGTACGGCAGAACGGGAGTCTCTGAACAGAGATGCCAATGCTAAGTTCACAGAGAGCACAGCACCTACTCATTGCTTCAAGGAGTTTGTTCTGTGAAACCTTTTTTAAATGATCTCACAGCATTAGTTTATTTTTAATACCATCACAAACTCTCAGAAAAGCTGGAAGAACAGTACAAAGGAAAGTCCGTGAATCACTTGAGGGTGAGTGGCCGACCTGACACCCAACCCCCGGGACACGGCAGTGTGGCTCCCTGTGGACAGAGGCACCCCCTACGGAACCGAGGGGATGGCCTTTGAAACCGGGCCACCAGCCACGCCCAGACCCCCAGCTTTGGCTAACGGTCCCTATAGCGTCTCCCACAGCAAAGGGTCCAGCAAGGAACCACGAGCTGCGTTTTGCTGTCACGTCTCTGCAGCCCCTCCCTGACTCTCGTGCCCCTGACACCTGGAAGGTCACAGGCCAGCTGTTCTGCAGCATGTCCTCGTTTTCCCTCTGACAGACGTCCCTTTGTGACGAGACGCGGGCAATGCACCTTTGGCAGGAATTTCACACGAGTCACGGGCCTTGCTCACCCTGCACACAGAGCTCCAGCACAGGGGGGCCCTGCCCGCTCCCCTGCGTCGGGGCGCCCCTCCCTCCCTGTGTAGTTACGAGGACCTCGGGGGAGGTGGTCTGAGACTGTGCAAATCCCGTTCCCCTAAACCACCCACTGACTCGTTTCTAGGGGCTCGGGTTCCTGTCTTATCCAGCGGGTACAATGTCACTACAGACACTGCTGGCGGGAGGGGGCCACTTGGGGGCTGCTGGGAACTCTGACGCTTGAGCACTGCTCTCTGACCAAACAAAGTGCACTAACTCGTCCTGCAGCCTCCTGACTCTGGCCTGGAATCTGCAGCCCCCTAAGGCACCCTGGTCACTGCGGGGCAAGCGGTTTTAGACGAGACCTGGGCGCTGGGTGTGCTGCTGCCATCGTGGTGTCACCAATCCCAGGCCCCTCCAGTGGCAGAGCGGGCGGCTCCGGCTGTAGCTTTCCCAGAGTATTCACAGCCAGACATCGACCCGACCCCCGACCCCACCGGGCTCGCCTCGTTTGCTCCTCTCTGTATTTCTAACTCCCTCACACCTGCAGGTGGGTGCGTCTTCCCATCTCCGCCACCCGCCCTCTCCCTCGTGGATGTCCTCCCCACCCCGTGGGCCCCCGCCCTCCGTGCCAGGCTATGCCAGCCACCCACCTCCTTGCCCTGCCTGGAGGCCGACCCAGGCTCAGGCCACCACGGCTCCAGCACTGCCAACACCTGCCCTGCTCCCTAACAGCTTGAGGGACGAAGCATCTGGGAAGGGAAGGGAAGGACCACCCAGGTCCCCCGACACATGCACTTTGCTACTGCTGGATCCAAACCAAAGTAGCCACTGCAGCCCTTCCTATGGCGATGCTCAGACCAGCTGCTCGTCAAGAGACCAAAGCACAGCATCTCTGAAGGTTCTGAGGTTGAAAGGAGGACACAGAAGTGTCCTCTGTCATGACTGTGATGCACTCAGAAGGCTGAGCCATCGCATCACAGACACAAATCTCCCACTGGTTCACGCGGAAAGTCAGCTGCTCTGCCATCCCGCCCTGTGTCTGCGGCAAACGTCCCTGAGCCGCTCTGTGGGAAAACACGCACACAGCGCTCGCACGCGCGCGTGCATGCGTGTGTGTTTAGGGGATGAACGCAGCCTCAAAGCACCAACAGCCACCGGGCGAGGCCCTTCCCTCCGGGCGCCTCCTGAGCCACGGGCTCACTCCTTACCTAAACGAGCCTCCCCCGGGCTCCTTGAGCTTGTTTTTCTGTGCAGCAGCTGCTTGTGCCGAGACAGTAGAAAGAGCTTTGGTTCCAGGTAACACGGCAGGTTTCACCACAGGGACTGCAAAACAAGAGACGAGGGTATGCCCCCCGCGCATGGACTCGGAGATGGAGACACTGCCGTCCCCGGTGCTAGGTGGGCTGCGGGGAGGGCCACTACCCCCAGCCCACCACAAGGAAGCTTCCTAAAACATCAGAAACGTTGGGTTACTAACTCTAGATTAGAGTAAAAGCATAAGCAGCATCTCTCACGCACCTGCCTTCCTGTGTCTCATCAAACTTTTTGGAATGTAGGAACGACTACCGGTGAAGAGCCCAGTCCTGAACGTGTGATTGTGAAAATCGTACTGACGGGGCGATGCCCGCACAGCCCTGTGAATGTACTAACGCCACTGAATTGTACACCTGTTCACATGGCTAAAATGGCCAAGTCTGTGTTACGTGCGTTTCACCACCATTAAAAAAACAGAGAGACGGGGTCCTGGGGAGAGCGGCCCAGCCGCCGGCCCTCACCTGGCTGCAGCTGGTTCAGCTGGATCTGCTGGGGCGTGGTGAGCACGATGCGGTTGTGGGGCTGCCGGAGCGCCACCATGGGCGTCTGCGTCAGCGTCACCTGCGGCGGCCGGATCAGCGCTCCAGGCTTGGGCGGCGGCTGGATCACCTGGAGCAGAGCCCACGGGGCACGGGGCACGTGAGCTCACATCCCACCCCCACCCCCATGGTGGAGGGGGCTCCCACACCTGTTCCCTGCCCGGGCCGGGGGGTGGGCAGCCTTCCGGGAGGACCAGGGGGGTCAGCCGGGGGCACTGCATCAGGCTGCAAGCTCCTGGGGGCAGATTAACTGCTCGGAAGCCACACAGGGGGCCCTGAGGCCAGCGCCTGGAGGACAGAGTTTGCTGAGCTTGCGAACCAGCGTGGAACTGAAGACTTCTCCCCAGATGTGAGCACAGGTGCCGGGGCGCCCCCTCAGATCCCTTCCAGAGCCTCTAGGGCTGGATCAGAATCCAGCTGCTGAATTTTACGAAGGTCACCTGGTGGGCATACTCTTAACGTTACGGCGCACTCAGGGAGGGACGGGTGGTGCCCGGGGCCAAGCTATTTCTGCAACAAAACCTATGAAAATTTACACTGTCCAGAACGAGCAGACACACGACTGCCTGCAGGAGGTTCAGGCCAAGTTTTGCCACAAACTCAGGGAAGAGCCTCCAGGTTTCACGTCCCTACGGCCTTCAAGGGAAGCAGGTGATGGACCGGTGGTGCGCGACTCTGCAAGGGCGCGGCAGAGCTCCACCCCTCCAGTGAGGGGCATGCGAGCGAGCCCTGATCTCACATCTGCACTTTGGCCCGAAGCGCGCGCGCGCGCACACACACACACACACACACACACGGCTCCACCTCCCGTGGGAGCCTGTCTTCCTCACCACCAATCAAGGCAAGAACAAATGCAGATTTTAACTTGAGCAGGTGAGAGACCACCACCCTTCATGACTCTGATTGCCCACCTGGTTACCACTCAAGCATTATCGTAAGATACACTCCACAACCTACGAAAGTGACGTGAGGACCTGCGTTGTATTAATTTTTTTTAACCGTCTGTATAGGAACAAAATCCCTTTGAAATTAAAAAAAAAAAAAAAATAGCAACTGCCTTTTCTACACTGGGCGAACCCCATCTGCCTGCAGGAGCACGTTCAATCCTAAACTCTTCCCAGCAGAGACACCCTTTTCTATAGCTACACGACCAGAACCCTGGATCCCAGCCACAGATAAATCCACCATCAGCAGCCGTGCCTCCCGAGGATCTCCGAGCCCCAAACGACGGCTGCAGAGCTCAGTCCTAGACCATGAAACCTGACGTGTCCAGTGCCAAGCACTTAGCGTCAGCTTCGTGTATTTGGGCCATTGCTCCTAATCAAAGATAACGTCCAGCTAAAAGATCCACTACAAACACACCGTGTCCATTTAAACCAGGGACGCCCAAAACAGTACAGACAACGGACGTGCCAAAGGGCAAAAATCAGTAGGCTTATTTCGTTTTACTGAGAAATAGATTTCGAAGCTGCAGGGCCTCGGCCCCTGGCTGACACCTCACTATTTCAGATCCCGCCCCAGGTCCTCCCTGGCAGTCTCTCTGAGCCACGGGCAGCCGGACACGTGCGGGGGAGCAGGGCGAAGCTCTGGCCTCCATACCAGCGGCGTGGGCTGCCCCTGCTTGCCGACGCCCACCGGCGTGGGCTGCGCGAGGCTGATGACAGGGGGCTGGAGGGCGCTGGTCACGGTGGCCGCCGTCTTCCCGGCCGTGCGCTGCACCGAGCCACTGAGCACCACAGCCGTGAGCGCGGTGGTGGCCTGCGAGGCCGGTGGTGGCTGCTGCTGACTCTGCTGGATGAAGGCCGCGGAGTCGGGGGTCAGCTGTCTCAAGGCGGGCAAGCTCCTCTGGGCGGAAAGACAGACACAGGGTCGGCTCCCTCCTCGACTCAGAAAACACACGACCCTGAGAACACGCCCTCGGCCAAACAGCGTCGGTCTGGGGCCTTAAGGAGACGCCCCGGGACGCCGGGTGCTGGCATCCCAAACCACTGTCCCCCGACTGCCGCTGAGCAGGGTTACCCTCAGTGACAACTGGCTGCAATTTGTTTAAAAAACAAAGCAGAAGCGCCATTTCTGAAATGAAGTTAAGCGCGTTAAGGCAGCTGAGGCATCTGAGCGACACCCTCATCCCAGCGGCGCGGGGCCCCGGTCTGCGGGCAGAGGGCCCCTCGCGGTCCCCGGCTGTGACACAACATTGTGGCCTCAGTGGCGGGGGTCTCGTAACTTACAGAGAAGCCTCGAAAGAGAAAACTTAACATTCTGTCTCAGGGGGCTTGAAACCCGCAAACGCACCGGTGACACCCGTGCAAGCCCACCCCTCCCCGGGACACGCCCGCCCCTCCACCCGACGCTGGGAGCTCGCAGGCAGCTTCAAATTACCTTCAGGAAAGGCACAAGGTAAGGTTGAGGTGAGGAATTAAGTTCTCGGTATAACCTACTAGTGAAATCTTCTGCTTCGATTTTTCCGTCCTTAAAAATAAAATTCACATTGAAATTCCTCCACGAATACAAATTCACACACGCGTATCTTTATGCAGCATTTCTCTGGTCTCGCGTTTTAGGACTGGCTGTTCCTCACGCCAGGTCCTGCACTGGATGAAGGTGCGGGAGGGCCCGGGGGCCACGTGCTCAGCTGACAAGGGTTCCCGGGCGTGGGTGAGGCCCCCGGCCCTCCCTGTGCCCCACCCCATCGGGGCTCACTGGCCCACTCCACGACTTCCCTACGCCAGCTCCCACGGGACATCTACGTGGCACCTAACCCACCGCACATCAGGCATTTTGCCAGGCGACAGACTAGCCTAAAAGTACCCTCATGACCAAGTTGGAAGGTACCGCAGACCAGGGACACCCTTACCCAGAGAGACCACACCTACGCCGAGACCCCAGAGCAGCTGGGGCGCCGGCGGGGAGAAGCGAGCGCCCAGATGAGAGGGCCCAGACCCCGCTCTGGAAACCAAAGCGAGCCAGGTGTGGAGGCTGGGGGGCCAAGCCTGTGGCTGACTGGGCCCAGTTCAAGGTGGGAGTGGCCAGGGCTGCAAAGAGGTCCTGTAACAAGGGCGGAACGGGGGTCCCGGTGCCCTGATAAGGGCGCAGCACAAGGGGGACGGCATTGGGCTCATCTGGGGGTGGGGGGATGGATGCGGAGGGTCGACGAGACGAGCCCACGATTCCAGCGCCGGGGAGGGACCACAGACAAAGGACCGTGGGAAGAAAGGGAACGGCATTTATTTAATTAGAAATTTTCATTAGAAGGTAAAATTGTTATAATTAAAACAAAAAGCTGGGAGTTCTTGCTCGTCGCAGGAGGTGAGATTATTTTTCAATCTCTGAGTTTCCTGAAAAGATTTAAGGAGCATCTGAAGCAATCATCTCTGCTTCTAAGAGCAGGACTTCATTCCTTTCTGGCCCCAAACCCACATGGTCTGCAGAGACGGCGCAGAGCCAGACCCTGAGGGTGGCTCCCCTCCAGCCCAAGCCCTCGGCACGGAAGGGAGGCTGCGAGCAGAGGGTCTGAGCCGGCGAACCCACCAGCAGGACAGAAAAGTCCAACAGCCCGTCTGCTGAGCCACCAGGTTTCCTTGTATAGAGAAACCGAGAGCAAAGGAAAACAGCAGGAAGGAGGGGACCCCCCCAGGCTACCAGCGACAACAGAGGCAGCTGCCACCGGTGGGCCTGACCGACTCCTGCAGGCAACACTGGACTCAGCCTCTGGGCACCTGGGGGCTGCAAGGGATGCTGCGTTCGCAGGTTATGTCCAGGCACCCGTGCTAAAATATTTATGAGACTGGGGAGGGGCTGTGGGTGGCAACGGGGGCGCAGCAGAGGCAAAGTCATATAAGAACTCATGACCGATGAAGCCCGCAGGTGGTCCAGAAGGGCTGTCACTCTGCTTTCTGCTTCTGTATCACTTAAAATCCTCCGTGAAAGGGACTTCCCTGGTGGCACGGTGGGTAAGACTCTGTGCTCCCAACGCAGGGGGCCCGGGTTAGATCCCTGGTCGGGGAACTAGATCCCACATGCATGCCACAACTGGGGAGCCCACCTGCGGCAACTAGGGAGCCTGTGAGCCTGTGAGCAGCTAGACCCCGTGCAACCAAATAGATAAATATTAAAAAAAAAAAAAATCCTCCGTGAAAAAGGTAGAGCAGGTGGAGGAGCGAGCGAGGGCCTTTAAACACCCTCCATCTGGTGAATTTACATCGCTCCTCTGCGGCCAACACGCTGTGAGGCTCCGAGAAGCCGGGCTGGCGAGCGGATGGCAGGGTGGTGGGCAGAGGGGCCCAGACTCCGGCCGCACCCCACCCCCATGGCCAAGTACAGCTCTCTAAGGCAGAGGGGCCGGCGTACAGAGCTCTTACCAGCAGATTCTGTACCAGTTCTTTCACGTTAGCGGCTGTCTCTGTAGACTGTTTACCAGATGAAGCCAGTTTTATTAGCGTAGATAAAAAATTTTTACATTTCTTCACGTTCTCCATAGTTTCCTGGATAGAGGTTAAAAAGATGTAAGCGAAAAACTCTTAAAAGGCAGATTTTCATCACAGCTTTTAACGAAGACATGGGTATCATATGAGAAATGTGTATTTCTGGGCTTCCCGGTGGCACAGGGGTTAAGAATCCACCTGCCAACGCAGGGGATACGGGTTCGAGCCGAGCCCACGTCCGGGAAGACCCCACATGCCGCAGAGCAACGAAGCCCCGTGTGCCACAACTACTGAGCCTGTGCTCTAGAGCCTGCGAGCCACCACTACCGAGGCCGCGTGCTGCAGCTACTGAAGCCCGCGTGCCTGGAGCCCGTGCTCCGCGACAAGAGAAGCCACCACAGTAAGAAGCCCACGCACCGCAACGAAGAGTAGCCCCCGCTCGACGCAACTAGAGAAAGCCCGTGCACAGCAACGAAGCTCCAACGCAGCCAAAAATAAATAAATAAATTTATTTTCTTTTAAAAAAAGAAATGTGTATTTCTTTTCTTAAACTTCTTTGAGGAAAATGCAGTAACTCTCACGGCCTGATGATGGGAGTATAAACCAGGACATGTGCTCTGAAGGTCCAGACCCAAGTTTACAGCTCACTCAGGCCAGCAATTTTACTTTTAAAAATGTAACTAATAACCAATAAATGTAAAAAAGATGACCTCTAAGACATTCACCTTGATATTGCTTATCATAAAGAAAAATTGATCCCTATCTAAGTGCACAGGAAAAGAAACTGAATTATGGCACAGATACTAAATATGATGAAAAACACTCAGCAAAGAAACATGAAAAACGTAAGTCATAAATAAAGCACGATCCCACTGGTTTAAAGATTCATACGTGTGCAGGAAAACTGCTGGAAATAAACGTTAAGAGGGCAACACTGCCGCTCTACAGGCCGCAACCACTGTGCAGCCCAGCCCCGTGTCACCCCTCTGGACACACCTGGTCTGGGCTCCATCCCACAGACATCCCCCACGGCCC